TCCAATTCCTACATTTCTCTCCAAATTTGACTCCTTTAATTTATTTTTCTACTTTGTATATCGTTCGATAACAAGCATCTAACAGTCAGCTACGTATATTTGTTTATATAATCACATAGGAAGTGTGTAGAAACGGTTTTTTGGTGTCACATGCAGACATCTGTAATCCTTCGACGGGCAGTCACGCCTACAAGTGACTCTCTCTCAGGCCGAGTTTCACTGCTTGTTCGGAGAGCCGTCTCTCGTACGCGTAACGGGGCTGTGGGACGACTTGTTTAGCAACTGCGAGCAGTTTGAGGAAAGTAGATATGTTTCAACGCGCTGGCACATAGGTGTGCGTTGGTGTGCGTGAAATAATTTATATATGTTGTTATACTACGACGAATAAGCTTTAAGAAAATACTGAAATTAAGTATCTGAAAAATATGCACATAGGAGAAAATCGCTGTCCAAAATCGACAAATTTGGCTCCAATTTCGTACATTTCTCTCCAAATTTGACCCCTTTAATTTATTTTTCTACTTTGTATATCGTTCGATAACAAGCATCTAACAGTCAACTACGTATATTTGTTTATATAATCACATAGGAAGTGTGTAGAGACGTTTTTTTGGTGTCACATGCAGACATCTGCAATCCTTCGACAGGCAGTCACGCCTACAAGTGACTCTCTCTCAGGCCGTGTTTCACTGCTTGTTCGGAGAGCCGTCTCTCGTACGCGTAACGGGGCTGTGGGACGACTTGTTTAGCAACTGCGAGCAGTTTGAGGAAAGTAGATATGTTTCAACGCGCTGGCACATAGGTGTGCGTTGGTGTGCGTGAAATAAGTTATATATGTTGTTATACAACGACGAATAAGCTTTAAGAAAATACTGAAATTATGTATCTGAAAAATATGCACATAGGAGAAAATCGCTGTCCAAAATCGACAAAGTTGGCTCCAATTTCGTACATTTCTCTCCAAATTTGACCCCTTTAATTTATTTTTCTACTTTTTATATCATTCGATAACAAGCATCTAACAGTCAACTACGTATATTTGTTTATATAATCACATAGGAAGTGTGTAGAGACGTTTTTTTGGTGTCACATGCAGACATCTGTAATCCTTCGACAGGCAGTCACGCCTACAAGTGACTCTCTCTCAGGCCGTGTTTCACTGCTTGTTTGGAGAGCCGTCTCTCGTACGCGTAACGGGGCTGTGGGACGACTTGTTTAGCAACTGCGAGCAGTTTGAGGAAAGTAGATATGTTTCAACGCGCTGGCACATAGGTGTGCGTTGGTGTGCGTGAAATAATTTATATATGTTGTTATACAACGACGAATAAGCTTTAAGAAAATACTGAAATTAAGTATCTGAAAAATATGCACATAGGAGAAAATCGCTGTCCAAAATCGACAAATTTGGCTCCAATTTCGTACATTTCTCTCCAAATTTGACCCCTTTAATTTATTTTTCTACTTTGTATATCGTTCGATAACAAGCATCTAACAGTCAACTACGTATATTTGTTTATATAATCACATAGGAAGTGTGTAGAGACGTTTTTTTGGTGTCACATGCAGACATCTGTAATCCTTCGACAGGCAGTCACGCCTACAAGTGACTCTCTCTCAGGCCGTGTTTCACTGCTTGTTCGGAGAGCCGTCTCTCGTACGCGTAACGGGGCTGTGGGACGACTTGTTTAGCAACTGCGAGCAGTTTGAGGAAAGTAGATATGTTTCAACGCGCTGGCACATAGGTGTGCGTTGGTGTGCGTGAAATAAGTTATATATGTTGTTATACAACGACGAATAAGCTTTAAGAAAAAAATGAAATTATGTATCTGAAAAATATGCACATAGGAGAAAATCGCTGTCCAAAATCGACAAAGTTGGCTCCAATTTCGTACATTTCTCTCCAAATTTGACCCCTTTAATTTATTTTTCTACTTTTTATATCATTCGATAACAAGCATCTAACAGTCAACTACGTATATTTGTTTATATAATCACATAGGAAGTGTGTAGAGACGTTTTTTTGGTGTCACATGCAGACATCTGTAATCCTTCGACAGGCAGTCACGCCTACAAGTGACTCTCTCTCAGGCCGTGTTTCACTGCTTGTTCGGAGAGCCGTCTCTCGTACGCGTAACGGGGCTGTGGGACGACTTGTTTAGCAGTTGCGAGCAGTTTGAGGAAAGTAGATATGTTTCAACGCGCTGGCACATAGGTGTGCGTTGGTGTGCGTGAAATAATTGATATATGTTGTTATACTACGACGAATAAGCTTTAAGAAAATACTGAAATTAAGTATCTGAAAAATATGCACATAGGAGAAAATCGCTGTCCAAAATCGACAAATTTGGCTCCAATTTCGTACATTTCTCTCCAAATTTGACCCCTTTAATTTATTTTTCTACTTTGTATATCGTTCGATAACAAGCATCTAACAGTCAACTACGTATATTTGTTTATATAATCACATAGGAAGTGTGTAGAGACGTTTTTTTGGTGTCACATGCAGACATCTGCAATCCTTCGACAGGCAGTCACGCCTACAAGTGACTCTCTCTCAGGCCGTGTTTCACTGCTTGTTCGGAGAGCCGTCTCTCGTACGCGTAACGGGGCTGTGGGACGACTTGTTTAGCAGTTGCGAGCAGTTTGAGGAAAGTAGATATGTTTCAACGCGCTGGCACATAGGTGTGCGTTGGTGTGCGTGAAATAATTGATATATGTTGTTATACTACGACGAATAAGCTTTAAGAAAATACTGAAATTATGTTTCTGAAAAATATGCACATAGATGAAAATCGCTGTCCAAAATCGGCAAATTTGACTCTTTTAATTTCAATATGTTATGTGCATTACTCATTTTTTCACAGAAATACTTTGTTTTCCAACAATTTTACTTCCACCTAAAAATATATTACCCACTGCAAAATTGTTTTTCTAATACGTGATCAAAATACATTTCCTCCTTGTTCTAACCACGAAACTACGCGCTAAATAAATATCGTGCATATTACACGCATCATTCTGATTCAGACACATTTAGTGTAACAAGACGGATGTTCCGATTGAACATTTTAGTCAGGCATCGGTTACCTCCCTTTATCGGCTTGTCGACCAGTCACTTGTACGCGAGACGGTTCGCGCAGTTTCGAAGAAAGTAAACATGTTTCAACGCGATGGAAAATGGGTGTGCGTTGGTGTGCGTGAAATAATTTATATATTTTGTAACTCTACGATGAATAAGCTTTTAGAAAATACTACGTGTTAGTTTCTGAAAAATATGTACATAGGAGAAAATCGCTGTCAAAAACAGAACATTTTGCTCGATTTTTACACATTTTTCTCCCAATTTGACCGTTTATTATTTTTCTTATGACATTTTTTTCATGTCATTCGATAACTAGTAGGATAATCAATAACTGTACTTAATTTTGTTTTATTATTTTCACAAATAACGCTTGTAGAGACATTTTTGTGCAACAGGCAGAAATCCATGGTCCACTGACAGACCGTCACGCATACGCGTGACCCCTCTCAGGGGGTCACTTGTACGCGAGACGGGAGAGCCGTCTCGCGTACACGTTACGTCCTCTACTGTTTAGACAGGGGGAATTGTCTCCCCCTTTACTAAGCTCTATTATGTCTTTTTGCAAATTAATCTTTTCATGTCACATTGCAGCAGCAGGAATAGATTCTTGAAATATCAGACATACACATCATAAACTTAACGAGTGTTATTAGACGTAGAAAACAAGGTTTGGGTTTCAACGGTATTGATTCTTTCCCTAATGATAATCACCGTGATGAGAAAATCGAACTTGCTTGTGATAATACTGTTGTACTTTAATTAAGTTTGCATATCAAGTAACCCCAAGCGGAATCCTGCAGTTTCGGAAAGAAAAAACCCAGTGCTATCAGTTACATTTTCCATGCAAGAATTGTCCATGATATAATTAATGAATTGTGGAATAGTAGCTGTAATATTTACTCTGTAAGGGTTCCTCTTCAATTAATGCATATTTTGTTTGATTTCAATGTCAATCAAAACGAACACAGCTGATACTAATGTTTACTTAATGTCTTTGATTTCAGAATATTGGCAATTATATACTGTCAAGACCTAAGATCAGTGTTGTCAATATTAGCTTTCTGATCATTTATGTTTTTAATAATTTAGGACCAAGAAACCTATTAAGTCATTTTTATAGATACATAATACTAAGTTTCTTTTCATCAAACTTTTTCTGCACAATATTTTCTGTATGTGTGAGGAGTAAGTGTGGTACTATCCTATATTGTTTATCATGTTTCACTGGCTCTATGTAGAGAAACCATGACAATGTTATTTCGGCCAAATATGTTTGGAAATGTCATATCTGTGGCTTATGACATTACTTTTCCAGAATTTTGAACAATAAATCAAATTTTTATGTCTTGCTTTTGATTATCCAATGTGTTAATTCTGGTTAGGTTTCTGAATAAGCATGACTTGAACAAAGACTGTTTGGCCATGTATGAACTGAACCATGCCTGTCAACCAGTAGATGTGACCCGTGGAGGTCCAGGATAGAATTTGTATTCAGCCAACCCATGCTTGCCATAAGTGGCGCCTATGCTTGTATGCTATGCTAATGGGATCAGGTGGTCAGACTCGCTGACTTGGTTGATGCATGTCATTGTATACCAATAGTGTGGATCGATGTTCATGATGTCAATCACTGGATTGTCTGGTCCAGACTCGATTATTTACAGACCGCAGTCATATAGCTAGCATATTGCTGAGTGTGGCGTTAAACAACAAACAAACAAACAAGACCAACACCGACAGTAAAATAAGTATGTAAGGATTTCAAAATGCAGATGTTTTTCTTAGTCAGTTTGGTGTTCTCTGTGTACAGCAGTGTTTGACTTGTGGTCAGCCGAAATGGGCATACTGTTTACACAAACCTTGTTTGCACTGTATGGTTTGTTTGTTAGTTCTCATGTTATTTTTCCCTCGGTTTCAGACTGTGATGTGATTGTGTCCAGCCGTCACGGCAATTCCAAAAATGGAACATTCCATTCTCCAAAGTCCAAAATTACCGGTAATTACCCCAGCAATTCACACTGTATCTACAAGTTCATTGGATGGGCTACAGAAAGAGTGAAAATCCGGTTCACTAAGTTCGAGTTACAAGGGAGAGCACCTGCGTAAGTACCTTGTCAAACTAATTATTATATTGACTGTATTATCGTATGTGATTCTAACGCCTAGGCAATAGAAATATCATGAAAGTTGTTACTCGAGCAGTGTAGAGATTAAAAAGAATTTCTGTTGGTTAGGGGTAGCCAAGTGATATAAGGTTCAGGTTCCATGATTCACTGTGGAGAGTTTTGTCCCCTGGGCATGCAAGGATCTGCTGAGTGGATTCTAAAACCAGTTTTGCTCAGATCATTGGTTTGTCAGCACCATATTCTCATAGTCATGGTTTCAGCAAAATCAGTAAATGTCTGTCAACAACATCTCCTCGGGGCTCCCACACCAAGCTAATATTTAACTAAAATACTTTTTGAACTCTGTATTCCAACTGGCACACACAGTTTTGTTAACAAGATTGTTTATGTCTGCATTGGTTGTGAGATGACAGGATGATAAGCATAACAGGAAGTGCAATAAGTGCTGATGAAGAGACAGGCTACACAAGCACCTGTGTGATCAGGCTGGGACTAGACGACCCCTTAAGCAATAGAGAGTGAACATCAACCTACATGACCAGGGTACTTGGCCTGTCTGTCCCTTGATCCCCTCCCAGTTCAACAAACATGGGCACAGGGGATCTGTTCCATAATGACACAAGGGAGTAGTTACATTGGTACTGACTTAGGTTAATTAAATTATCTTACGGTTTTTAAAACTGCAAACTTTAATGGGTTTTGACTAATTTTAATTAGTTGTCTTACTGCTATTGTACTGCTAAAACGTAATGCGTTTTGGACAGCAGTAATCAGATGTATGACCTGGTACACAGTTGCCAAACTCCATACAGCCGGCCTATGAGCCTTTGAAAGGTTAATTATTCCAACTTCAAGGCCATGGAGCTCTCAGTGTCTAAGCGTAATGAATTAAAAGCCTTTGAACATTAAAACTTGTGAAGTCAAGGCATTACATGGTAACACTTACAGGTCTTCATTACTCAAGTTGAGGTAACCCAGAAAGACTTTCAAGACTATTACTTTTTAGAGTAATTAATTTTCTTGAAGGTCAGTTAATAAAGTTTATCCTTAAGAATGCAGGTCTAGACATGCACTCTTTCTGTTTTAACACCTGTCGTTAAGTTACTGTAATGTCCATGCTTGTATCCTGTACCATATTACATACATATGTCTTGATCTCATGAATACACTGATATAGATAGTGTGAATTGCAGTGCATCATTGGTTTAACAACAGCATTATGACCTCCTGGATGTAATTGTTCTTGTTTAAGTGAAAGGAGAACTGTGGCCATGAATTAATACCAAATCAGATACAAAAAACCTGACAGTTGCTAGGGATAATACTGCACACATGTTGAAAGGCAATAGCTGATCTTACACACAACATTGTGCCTGTCAGCTTCTATATGATCATCTGGCCAGTATCATCCACCAGCACCAAAACATGCTGACACCATGTTGTTATTAGGTTACTCTCCAAAACAAACAGAACCAGTACAAGAACATTGGTATTTCTTTCCAATGCATCCTTCATCCATTGCTTGTTTTGATTTGCCTCCATTACTTGGATAACAATGTAACAATATATCAGTGCACTGGCTAAATGCAATTCACTTTATGCAGTGTGATGCATGAAGATATGGTCTTGCTGAGATTTGTAGAACATCACATATCTTTTTTAAAACATCACATATAAACAATATTTCAAGAAGTACAATTGAGTCTAACAGCAAGGTAAACAAAGTAGCAGTACTGTGTGTCTTGATAACATATAAAGAGAAATATGGGCACATCCCTTTCACAGACTCTTTACCATGTTAATGCTATACATATTGGTACGTATCAAAACACAGCCAATATGTGAATACATTTCAGTACAGGTTTTACTGTTAATATCCATCCCTGAGCCACCTTCATCGACTGAAGCATCTGACAATGTGCATCCCATTCTGAGAGAAATTAACAGTGTGCTCTTAACATACACAACTTCACCTAAATTCAGGACCGCCTTCTTGGTCTAGTGGTAGAGCGTCCGCCCAGAGAGTGGAAGGTCTGGGGTTCAATCCCCGCCTCGTCATACCTAAAAGACGTTAAAAGATGGTACTTGTTGTTACCCTATCTGGCACTCGGCATTAAGGGGTTAAAACAATGACTGGTTGGCTTGGAGTCGGTATACTGTGTCTGAGTGGGGTGTTCATGTTAAACTGTGGCACGGTATCTCAGGGCTGGCACTATAAATCAGCATCAGTCCGGACTAGTACAAGCAGCCACATACATACGTGCATATATAAGTGCAATAATCTTAGATGCAAAGTTAAACCCCCTTTCACCTCACCTCATCTAAATTCAGTGGTTTCAGAGACCCCTAGCATATCACTGTCAATACACATTGTTTTAATGAGCCTTGTCCTTCAAGCATCTCATCACATGACTGATGCATGCATCTCCTACTAAGAATAATATAATGTGACCCTATACGTACACAATGGTCACAGTGGTTTGTGAGCAACACCCCTCCCCATAGCATAACTCTCCTATCACTGTTCAGTATTTTGTTGTTCAAAAAAGAATGAAAAAATGTGGAATTGATGGTGAGAAAGTCTTGAAAGATTACAAAGGCTAATGCAGATTATACAGGACACTGAAGCTTAAACCTCAGCCTGACAACATCCCATTTGGTATCTTATTAATTGCCCAAATGCAGGCTTCATCCCTATCTCTTTTCAATTTGTAGAGACCAGGTCTTTAAAATTATCCTTATTGATCCCAAGCGCTATTAAGGTAATTAAATAGGAATTCCCTGCTGTGAAATGAGCTTCCTTGGTAAGATGATGTGGTGTAATTGCACCAAATTTTACACTCTTCTATGAACACATTTAAATATGCATGTTCCAAAAGTAGACCAATACCCCAAGGATATCTTTGACTAGACATGCAACCATGGGATTGTCTTTCGGGGTTTAAGTCACCGTAGATTAGACATTTTTTTGCTCCCATTTGGAGCTTTTCAATGAATAAGTAAGATAAAGAATGTTTTTCGCATCAGAGTACAGTGATCTGTGCTGCCATTAAGTGCTAATACCTTTATCACTTGAACAAGGTATATTTTTAGCTGAAGGTGTGTCAAGGATGTGGTTAATGGACATATTGAGATAAGGGGTTTAAGAATATAATGCAATGCTCTTTACAAAACACAATAGTTGTCTTACATAAATGCTTATGTTACTTTTGAGAAAATTTCAATATTGTATGCTTCTAATTCTGATAGCAAAGATAAATTCTTGCTTCTGTTAAAGGTCCTTAGTTATTAGAAATTATGTTGTTTTGTTTAGATATTTGATAGAAGTGAGGCGTTAAATTCAGTATTTCAAATGATCATTGATAGTTTTAGGACTTTGTCAGCACTTGTATGTAATCTACTGCCTCTAATGGACATATTTGAAGAAATGTATAAGAGAATTAGTCATTCTCTAAGTTCATCAGAAGACTTGTATCTATATTCATACATTCTTGTTTCACATCAGGGCCAGTGGGTTAGTCTAGGGTTCAATTCCTCAAATAGTCTCAGTGTGTTAAGCTGATGATGTTTGGGGTCATGATATGGATGGCATTTTGCTAAATCAGAGTAAAGCCTCACTCACTCGTTTGTTCACTCACTCACTCACTCACTCACTCACTCACTCACTCACTCACTCATGTTGTTTCTCATGAAAGACGTAAAGTGGTAGATGAATATGGAGACATCATAAAAATGCCTTTTCATATCAGTGAAAGTATATATCAGGATTAAAAGTTTTTTGAATGGCACCTCCTGCATTTTCTTTGCTGCATTAGGAGAAAAATGCCATTGACATGCCTTGATCAATAAACTTAGTCGTCTGGAACATTATCTCCAGCCATATTCCTCTATCTAACGATAACGTTTTATAGCAATTTGCTCGCATTGCTGGTACACCCCATGCTTGTGTGCACAAGCACAGTGCCAACATCAAATGATATTTTATGGGGATATTGCAGTGGATGTCAAGTGAAGCAGAAACTCTGCAATCACTCATGCAAATTGTTGCAAAGTGAGTTATTCTGTAGATTAATGGTATTCACACATGCCACAGATAGATTGGTAGAAATTACCGTTCCTACATGTCAAAATTAAAGGAGAAACCACATGTTTGAACAGACATTTTGCTGCATTAGAAATGTTAAATTTGTGAAGGCGAGATGGTCCAGTTGTTATGTAGGATTGTGAAGGTCACACAAAAAAGGATAACAGTGAAACCCCATTAACTCCTATTGACCCCAACTATATCGAGTTATCCAATGTTTGATACAAGCAGAGTGGTGAAATGAGACTAATAGCAGTGATAAGGATTTTGTTTGGGCCTTAACGTCACATCATTTTAAGTGATAGGTATGTTCAAGGTTTTATTGTTATTTTTTGTTAGAATGGTTACTTTAAAAAACAAAACAAAAAAACTTTATGATAATGCAGCTATGGCCACATTCACCGACATAATTACATCTCTCAGAGGAGAATAACCTTGCTACCAAGATCCAAGATGTTTTTAACGCTTAATGTCTCTGGCAGTCCTTGAACAGTCTTGTAGAAATAATAATAATCATTAACTCGATTCCCAGTTAGAAAGAAACACTATTTTGTATAAGAAAACATCTTGTTCTAATTGTATTGGGTGAACATTAATAAGCCATTTGTCACAGTTACCTCCCTTAGTTGCTTCCCTTCACTATTTGTATAGAGTTAAACATACAGTACCAATTTAACCAGCACCTGTGTGTGAGCTTTGCTTTGTCAACTCAAGATTTTACTGACTAGTGTTTAGATGTTAGACATAGCAGACAGTTTATTTTCATACTTTAAGAAGGACAACAACAGGCAATTTGAACTGCTGCACTTTTTATAAGACGTGAAATCTGTTTTTGTACAACAGCTTTAAAGAGATATGTTCAGCACACAGAAAATACAAACACAACCTCCTG